GTGTGGGTGGATGAGTGTGTGGGTGAGTGTGTGTGGGTGGATGAGTGTGTGGGTGAGTGTGTGTGGATGGATGAGTGTGTGGGTGAGTGTGTGGGTGGATGAGTGTGTGGATGAGTGTGTGGGTGGATGAGTGTGTGGGTGAGTGGGTGTGTGTGGGTGAGTGGGTGGGTGTGTGTGGGTGGATGAGTGTGTGGATGAGTGTGTGGGTGAGTGTGTGTGGGTGGATGAGTGTGTGGGTGAGTGTGTGTGGATGGATGAGTGTGTGGGTGAGTGTGTGTGGGTGGATGAGTGTGTGGATGAGTGTGTGGGTGGATGAGTGTGTGGGTGAGTGTGTGTGGGTGGATGAGTGTGTGGGTTAGTGTGTGTGGGTGAGTGTGTGTGGATGGATGAGTGTGTGGGTGAGTGTGTGTGGGTGGATGAGTGTGTGGATGAGTGTGTGGGTGGATGTGTGTGGGTGAGTGTGGGTAGATCAGTGTGTGGGCAACACACACCCCCTACCACCTCGCGGTGCCGGACAGGCAACGCTGTCGTGGACAATGCTGTGGGGGGAGGGCCAATTCAGATTGGCCTCTCCCCTCATGGCACTTGTGGCCACCACAGTGGCTAAATGGGGGCTCTGGACGGGTGCGAGGGGCTGGTAACCCCTCCACCTTCAATTAACTTACCGTTAAACCACTAATTAATTATCTAACTAATAAGCTTGTGCCGGAGGCCCCGGGGGGACAGGCGTCTATGACGTCTCCTGACCAAACCCCAATTGGCAGAGCCAGGAGATTGAATCTTCACCCTCGGGGCCACGTGGAATGTTCGAACGCTCTCTGCAGAGCAGAGGCTGCCACTCTTCTGTCTGGAGCTGGACCGGTACCGCCTGGATCTCTGTGGTGTTCAGGAGGTCCGGTGGACCGGCTCTGGCTCCTGCCACCGTGAGGGGTGGACAGTCCTCTACTCGGGGAGACTGCCAAACAACAGGGTGTGGCTCTTCTTCTGAACAATAGAATTTAGGGGGTGTGAGTGTGGCGGTGAGGTGTGGGAAGCTATAAGCCCCAGGCTACTTTGGTTGATAGGAAGGCGAGCCCAGAGGTGTGGAGTGGTAGTCGTGGTTACTTATGCCCCCACCGAAGACGAACATCCGTGGAGGGATGCAGGCAAAGCCGATGAGTCAGATGCCTTCTATGACCTGTCACAGGTGCTGGCTAAAGTGGCCCCTCAGGATGGAGTCATCTTGTTGGGTGACTTCAATGCCCGAGTTGGTCATGATGCTGGCACCTGGTCTGGAGTGATTGGAAGGCATGGGCCAGATCAGCTCAATAACAACGGCAGGAGGCTGCTAGATTTTTGTGCAGCCCATGGGCTTGTAATTACCAACACGCTCTTCCGGCGTCGGCGCATCCACACAACATCATGGATGCATGCCGGGTCCAAGCAAGAACATCTGCTGGACTACATAGTAACGGACCAGCGGATGCGAGCCCATGTCCTTGACACCAGGACCTACCGTGGAGCTGATCTGCCCTCTGACCATCGACTAGTCATCTGTAAGATGCGCCTGCCATTCTTCCGCTCCGGTGGTGGGTGTACACCCAGGACCCCATTCAAACCTAAAGTGGCCTGGTCTCAGCTGATGAAAGTTGCAAGTGAGAATTTCATCATCGCTTGTAGCTAAGGTTGGCATCGTCCCCCACTCCTGATGTCGAGGGTAAATGGGCGAGGTTTAGGACTGTGACTCATGCAGCCGCAATGGCTGCTTTGGGTACGCGGTCCAGACCTCCCCAGAGACCCTGGCTGACAGAGGAGGTGTTCAAGCTGGCTGAGAAAAAGCGACAGGCCCACTCTCATCGGCTACAGCATCTCACGTCAGAGAATGAGGAGGTTTACCGCAGCCTTCGCTCGGAGGTTCGGAGAGCCGTGAGGCGCTGCAAGGATGGGTGGTGGTCGCGGGTTGCTGAGGAGATGGAGTCTGCCTCAGTGGCCCGTGATCACAAATCACTTTAACTCCATCAAAAAAGTAACCTGCAGCGCCACACCTATTACCATCATTAGGGGAAAGAACGGTGATCCAATCTCCGACCCCCAGGAACAGGTTTGCAGATTTGCTGAGCATTTCTGTGAGGTCCTGGGGGAGGGGACATCCCTCAGCCTGGATAACAAAATGGGAATAAGTATAACCCGTAAAAACTATAAATCCTTTATATGCGTGACGGCTAGAGTCCTCTCGTCCTCTGGCTTAAGATGGCTGCCACCTATGGGTCAGATTATTGCATTGCACCATTAAGCAATTGGTAATTAAATATAATATTTTTGTCCTGAAAAGTGTAAAATTTTGGAAAAAAATTTTCACGAACATTAATTGTCTCGCACAACGAGTCTGTGTGCAAAACGTCAGCTCGATTGGATCACGGGAAGTGGGTTAAAAAACGACCGAAAGATTTGCACGGTCCTAAGCAAGCAAGCAAGCGAACTTAATATAAAGGATTTAAAAAGTGGTGATGACCCTGCTGAGGCTGCGGTGCCTCAAATATTTGAAGAGGTCACCCCCTGTGAGTGGCTGGCTGAGGTTCCAGCTGTTGAGGAAGTACTGAGGGCGATCCGGAGTCTGAGACCAGGAAAGGCACCGGGCAGAGATGATCTCCCAAGCGAAATGCTGAGGGAGGGTGGCGTTTGTGCACAGACTGCCCTGCGTGACATCATAACAACATAATAAAGGATTTTGTGTCAGATCGCGTTATTTATAAATGTGTTGCAATCCTGCACCACCTGACACGGCCAATGAATTAAAAAAAAAAGTGTCACGTTGATAAATGACAAAATATCTTCTTGGTTCTTTCGGTAAAGTCATCACGTAGAAGGGAAATAATAAAATAAAAAATAATTCTCACGACGTTTCGGCCACAACGCAAGCAGCCGTCCTCAGGTGAAGAACAGGGCTGTCGGAAAGACAGCGTCCGACAGACCTGGTCTTCACCTGAGGACGGCTGCTTGCGTTGTGGCCGAAACGTCGTGAGAATTGTATTTTATTATGTTTTATTTTTATTTTATTAAGTTTTATTTTTATTATTTTATTATGTTTTATTTTATTAAGTTTTATTAAGTTTAATTTTTATTTTATTAAGTTTTATTTTTATTATTTTATTATTTCCCTTCTACGTGATGACAACCAAGACGATGAATCCCTGCAGCCACGAAAGTTTTAAATCGAAATAAAAGACAAAATAGTTCTCTACTTTAGCCACCGCTGTGTTCAAGAGTCAACCCACAACATTTACACATTTTGAAGAGACGTCGTTTTATTGGAAGACGGTAGATGTCTTCCGGAAGATGGGCCACATTGCTTTCAATAGAAAAATTATCTTCCAGAAGATGAATTGTTGTTTTATTGGGAGACGGTAGACGTCTTCCGGAAGATGGATTCTCATTGGAAGCAATGTGGCCCATGATCTTCTGGAAGATTAATTGTTGTTTTTTTGGAAGACGGTAGAGATCTTCCGGAAGATGGATTCCCATTGGAAGCAATGTGGCCCATTGATCTTCTGGAAGATTAATTGTTGTTTTATTGGGAGACGGTAGACGTCTTCCGGAAGATGGGCCACATTGCTTCCAATAGAAAAATGATCTTCTGGAAGATTAATTGTTCGTTTTATTGGAAGACTTAACGTATTCCGGAAGATGGACCACATTGCTTCCAATAGAAAAATTATCTTCTAGAAGATTAATTGTTGTTTTATTGGGAGACGGTAGATGTCTTCCGGAAGATGGATTCTCATTGGAAGCAATGTGGCCCATTGATCTTCTGGAAGATTCTTTGTTTTATTGGAAGACGGTAGATGTCTTCCAGAAGATGGGCCACATTGCTTTCAATGGGGAAAAATGATCTTCTGGAAGATGAATTATTGTTTTATTGGGAGACGGTGGACGTCTTCCGGAAGACGGAATCCCATTGGAAACGATGGGGACGGGTGATCTTCCGGAAGATGAGTAGTTTGTTTTATTGGGTGAACGGTAGAGATCTTCCGGAAGATCGCATCCCATGGGAAGCTATGGATTCATGATCTTCCGGAAGATGAGTTGGTGTTTTATTGACAGAACGGAAGAGATCTTCCGGAAGATCGCATCCCGTTGGAAGCAATAGATTAATGTTCTTCCGGAAGACAAGTTGTCGTTTTATTGGGTGGACGGTAGAGATCTTCCGGAAGAGAAATTTCCGTTGGAAGCAAAGGGCTGATTGATCTTCCAGAAGATGAGCTGTCGTTTTATTGACGTGACGGTAGCAATCTTCCGGAAGATGAATTCCCATTGGATGCAATAAAGAACAAACAAACTTCCGGAAGATTAGTTCTTGTTTTAGCGACGAGACGGTAGACATCTTCCGGAAGATCGCATCCCGTTGGAAGCATTAGATTAATATTCTTCCGGAAGACGAGTTCCTGTTTTATTGACGAGACGGTAGACATCTTCCGGAAGATCGCATCCCGTTGGAAGCATTAGATTAATATTCTTCCGGAAGACGAGTTCCTGTTTTATTGACGAGACGGTAGACATCTTCCGGAAGATCGCATCCCGTTGGAAGCATTAGATTAATATTCTTCCGGAAGACGAGTTCCTGTTTTATTGACGAGACGGTAGACATCTTCCGGAAGATCGCATCCCTTTGGAAGCATTAGATTAATAATCTTCCGGAAGACAAGTTCCTGTTTTAGTGACTGGACGGTAGACATCTTCCGGAAGATCCCATCCCAATGGAAGCAATGGATTCATGATCTTCCGGAAGACGAGTTCCTGTTTTATTGACGGGACGGTAGACAACTTCCGGAAGAGCCGCGCGGCAGAACAGCTGCTTCGCGCCTTTTCCGAGTCACCGGAAGTGACGCAGTTTAATTTATTCAGATTTTGTGGGTCGGGCTCCACCCCCGCGCGACTGAATCCGCATAAATTAACATAAATTAACATAAATTAACATAGTTTACCGTCATTATCATAATTTATGCGGCTTTATTTAGCGGGGAGGGGGCGGGGCGCGAGGCGGAGGTCAGCGGAGAACTTCCGGGGCAGCCGGAATCTGAGACCGCGAGAATGGTGAGACGCGGAGACAGAGACACGGAGACACACAGAGACACGGAGACACACAGAGACACGGAGACACAGAGACACACAGAAACACAGACACAGTGACACAGAGACACACAGAGAGACACACAGAGACAGAGACACGGAGACACACAGACAGAGACACACAGAGACACAGACACACAGAGAGACACACAGAGACACGGAGACACGGAGACACACAGACAGAGACACGGAGACAGACAGAGACAGAGAGACACACAGAGACACACACACACAGAGACACACAGAGACACACAGAGACACGGAGACACACAGACAGAGACACACAGATACCCACAGAGAGACACACAGAGACACAGACACACAGAGACACACAGAGACACGGAGACACACAGACAGAGACACACAGAGACAGAGACACGGAGACAGACAGAGACAGAGAGACACACAGAGACACACACACAGAGACACACAGAGAGACAGAGAGACACCGAGACAGACAGAGAGAGACAGAGAGACACACACACAGAAACACAGAGAGACACAAACAAACAGAGACACGGAGACACACAGAGACACGGAGACAGACAGAGACACACACATAGACAGAGACACGGAGACAGACAGAGAGAGACAGAGAGACACACAGAGACACAAACACACACAGAAACACAGAGAGACACAAACACACAGAGACACACAGAGAGACACAGAGACACACACAGAGACACGGAGACACACAGAGACACACACAGAGACAGAGACACGGAGACAGAGAGAGACAGAGAGACACACACAGAGAGACACACAGAGACACAGAAACACAGAGAGACACAAACACACAGAGAGACACACACAGAGACACGGAGACAAACAGAGACACACACAGAGACAGAGAGACAGACAGAGACAGAGACACACACAGAGACACAGAGACACACAGAGAGACACAGAGACACACAGAGAGAGAGAGACAGACAGACACACAGAGACACACACAGAGACACACAGAGAGACAGAGACACAGAGAGAGAGAGACAGACAGACACAGAGACACACACAGAGACACAGACAGAGAGACAGAGACACAGAGAGGCACAGTGAGACACAGAGACACACAGAGAGACAGAGACACAGACACACAGCGAGACACAGAGAGAGAGATACAGAGACCCTGAGCAGAGACACATGGACAGAGACACATGGACAGAGACACAGAGAGAGACAGAGAGAGACACAGAGAGAGACAGAAACGGAGACAGAGAGACGCATACAGAGAGAGACACAGAGAGAGAGAACCAGAGACACAGAGAAACACGAGACAGAGACACGGAGACAGACACACAGACAGAGACACACAGAGACACAAACACAGACAGACACGGGGAGACAAAGACACGGAGACAGACACAGACAGACACACAGACAGAGACACACAGATACAGACAGAGACACAGATACACTTGAAGCGACACAGAGAGAGACACTGAGAGACAGAGAGACAGACAGAGACACAGAGAGACAGACAGAGAGACAGACAGAGAGACAGACAGAGAGACCGACAGAGAGAGACACACAGACACAGAGAGAGACACAGAGAGAGACGGAGAGAGACACAGAGACACAGACACAGAGAGACAGACAGAGAGACAGACAGACACACACACAGACAGACACACACATAGAGACAGACACACAGACAGAGACACACAGATACAGACAGAGACACAGATACACTTGAAGCGACACAGAGAGAGACACTGAGAGACAGAGAGACAGACAGAGACACAGAGAGACAGACAGAGAGACAGACAGAGAGACCGACAGAGAGAGACACACAGACACAGAGAGAGACACAGAGAGAGACGGAGAGAGACACAGAGACACAGACACAGAGAGACAGACAGAGAGACAGACAGACACACACACAGACAGACACACACATAGAGACAGACACACAGAAAGAGACAGAGACACACAGACAGAGACACACAGACAGAGACACACAGACAGAGACACACAGACAGAGACACACAGACAGAGATAGAGACACAGATAGACACAGACACATACAGAGAGAGACACAGAGACTGACACAGAGACAGAGACACAGAGAGACAGAGACAAAGACACAGACACACAGAGAGACAGACGGAGAGAGACACAGGGATAGAGACACAGAGAGACACAGAGAGAGACAGAGACACATACAGAGAGAGAGACAGAGAAAGACACCGAGAGAGAGACACGGAGCCAGAGAGAGATACAGACAGAGAGTGACACAGAGAGAGACACAAAGAGAGACACCGAGAGAGAGACACGTGGAGGGAGACACAGACAGAGAGAGACAAGAGAGAGACAGAGACAGACAGAGACACACACAGAGACATACAGAGAGACAGAGACACCGAGAGAGAGACACAGAGAGATAGACACACAAAGAGACAGACAGTGAGAGACGCAGAGATAGAGAGAGACACAGAGACACAGACACAGAGATACAGACAGAGAGACACGGGGAGACAGACACGGAGAGACAGAGACACACAGACAGACACAGACCCAGAGATGCAGAGAAACACCGAGACAGAGACACGGAGACAGAGACACAGACAGAGACACGGAGACAGACACACAAACAGAGACACAGACAGAGACACACAGAGACACAGACAGACACGAGGAGACAGAGACACGGAGACAGACACAGACAGACACACAGATACCGACACACAGACAGATAGAGACGCAGGGACAGAGACACAGAGAGACTTGGAGAGACACAGAGAGACAGAGAGACAGACAGAGACTCAGAGAGAGACACACAGAGAGAGACAGAGAGAGAGACACAGAGAGAGAGAGACACAGAGAGAGACACAGAGAGAGACACAGAGAGAGACAGAGGGAGAGAGACACAGACACAGACACAGAGAGACAGACAGAGAGAGACACACAGAGATACAGAGACACACAGAGACAGAGACAAAGACACAGAGACAGAGAGAGACACGGGGGGACAGAGAGAGATACACAGAGACAGAGGGACACACAGAGACACGGAGACAAACAGAGACACACAGAGACACACAGAGACACACTGAGACACACACTGAGACACACACAGAGACACACACAGAGACAGAGACACAGAGAGATAGAGAGAGACACAGAGAGAGACACAGACACACAGAGACACAGAGAGATAGAGAGAGACACAGAGAGAGACACAGGCACACAGAGAGACACACACAGAGAGACGCACACAGAGACGCACACAGAGACGCACACAGAGACGCACACAGAGACACACACAGAGACACACACAGAGACACACACAGAGACACACACACAGACACACAGAGACACACAGAGACAGAGGGAGAGACACAGAGACACACAGACACACAGAGAGACAGAGAGAGACACACAGACAGAGACATGGAGAGAGACACACAGAGAGACACAGACACACAGAGACAGGGACAGAGACACACAGAGAGACACACAGACACACAGAGACAGAGAGACACATAGACACACAGAGAGACACATAGACACACAGAGAGACACAGAGACTCAGAGACACACAGAGTCACAGAGAGAGACACAGAGACACACAAAGACACAGAGACACCCAGAGACACCCAGAGACACAGAGACAGACATACAGAGACAGAGACACACACACACAGACACACACACAGAGACACACACACAGAGACACACACACAGAGACACACAGAGACAGACGGAGAGACACAGAGACACACAGACAAACACAGAGACAGACAGAGAGACAGAGAGAGGACACACAGACAGAGACAGGGACAGAGACACACAGAGACAGAGAGAGACACAGAAACAGAGACACAGAAACAGAGAGACAGACACAGACAGACAGAGACACAGAGAGACACATAGACAGAGAGAGAGAGACACACAGAGACACACAGAGACACACAGAGACACACAGACACACAGAGACAGCGAGAGAGACACAGAGACACACAGAGAGACACACAGACACAGAGAGACACGGAGAGAGACACACAGAGACACAGAGAGAGACACACAGAGAGTCAGACAGAGACACAGAGAGACACAGACACGGAGACACACAGAGACACAGACACAGAGAGACAGAGACACAGAGAGAGAGACACAGAGATAGACAGAGAGAGACAGAGACGCAGAGATGCTGAGACAGAGACACGGAGACAATCAGAGACACAGAGAGAGAGAGAGAGACACAGCCACACAGATAGAGACAGAGAGACACACACATAGAGACAGAGAGACACAGAGAGAGACACAGAGACAGAGAGAGACACAGGGACAGAGACACACAGAGACAGAGATACAGAGAGACACACAGACACACACAGACACAGAGACAAACATAGACACAGAGACAGAGACACGGAGGCAGAGACACAGACAGAGAGAGACATGGGCGGAGACAGAGAGACACTGGGTGAGACGGCGAAAGACACGGGGAGACAGACACACAGACACAGAGAGAGAGACACAGGGACAGAGACACAGGGACAGAGACACAGGGAGAGACAAAGACACACAGAGACACAGGGACAGAGACAAACAGACAGAGACACCGAGAGAAACAGAGACACACACAGAGACACAGAGACACGCAGAGAGAGGGACACAGAGACAGAGACACAGAGACAAACAGAGGCACAGAGACAGACACGCAGACACAGATAGAGACACACAGAGACACACACAGACACAGAGATACACAGAGACACACAGAGAGAAAAGAGACAGACACAGAGAGACAGAGACACACATACAGAGACACAAATACACATACAGATAGAGACACAGAGAGACAGACACAGAGAGACACAGAGAGACAGAGACAGAGAGAGACACGGGGAGACAGAGAGAGACACTTGGAGAGACAGCGAGAGACACGGGGAGACAGACACACAGACACACCACAGAGAGACAGACACAGGGACAGAGACACAGGGACAGAGACT